TACAATAGCGACGATTATTATTTTAAAAAATTTTTGTTAGGCTTAACATCGATGAAAATTCAACGCAAAATAGGTTAATAGCGATATACTAATATACTAATTACATGGGATATAATAATATACTACACTAATAATGGATTTTTTCATACTTTTCGGTTATCCGACTTTTCAATTATCCGACCAACCCCAGTCCCCAATTAGGGCGGATAATCGAGGTTCTACTGTAACTCCAAATTGCAGGTCAAATCGGCAAGTTAGAGAAAATGCCATGTTGGACAAGATGCTGTCTTACATGATTTATGAGGTTGGGATAGTAGTGGGGCACATCAGTCACTATGGTGTAAGTTCCTATCATTATGAATGTGAATGCAATGCTTCAGTTTTTTACAAAACAAAGTGGCTTTTACTCTTACTTTGCAAACTGATGAATGTTTATTTAAAATATGATTCATAAATATTAATGTAACAACCTTAACTCTAAACATTAAATTAGCTAAAACTGCCTTAATCTGTTTGAGACAAAATCAGCCAAAGGAGAAGTTGTTTGATTGGTTTTGCTATACAAATTTTCCTCATAGATTCAGGAATAAAAACAATTTCATTTCCAGGTACAAAGAAAGAAGAAATTTTCTGACCTTAAAGAGCTAATATTATCTGTAATGAAATGATTTGAGTAGTCCTAGAAAATAGCATTAAGGAAAGTATAATTAGAGCTGAACAATTTCCTGGCAGTTATGATTGTTTTTGTTTATTATAACCAGCATCTTGTCCAACTAGAAAAGGTAAGATGCCATGATTTTTTCGTTCAGTAAGATGTATGTTAAAATTTTTTTTAAATGTGCTGCCCAGTAAAGCTGAAATAAATTATACTCAAAAAGAAGAAAATCCTCAAAAACCTAATACTTTCTAAACATTCAATGTGTGTACCTTGAAATTGTCTCACAGTCACTGGTTTGCCATCACTAAATCAGTCTAGTTCAAACTGGATTATCATCATAAATAGTAATTAAATATTCTTTTCTATTCTAGCAAACATTTACATAAGTAAGTAATGATTTTGTAAATTATCAAATAAAATGGAATGCAAGAAGCAAGAAATACACTTCGTACATATGCAATTAATTCTTAAGAAAGATGAAATTAGAATCAAAGTATACATAAAATATACCTAATTCTTCTGTATATTCCAAATAATTCATTCCATGCAGAAATGTACAAATACTTGTTATTCAAAGGGACAGCGAATAAAGAAATGCATGGCCATGTTCAGTAACACAGAATTCTTGCTAAGTCTAGTTATGCTGCAATGTTGAACTTGTTTCTAACTACTGCTTGACTCCTCCCACCACTAGCATCTTTTATGTATTCTTAGCTCTGCCCACTTAGCCACTCAGAATTCTAACTTAGGTTTTCTGCATTACTGAACACGGCCCATGTGTTAACAATGCTTGAGAAGAACAAAGAAGGATAAGAACAGCAGTTGGAACAGCATAATTTCCAGATTAACACAGCAAATCATATGAACAATATATGCATATCCAGCAAAAAAAAAAGAGCTCAGCATTTAAAGAAATATATTCTTTAAGCTCTGAATTCTTCTTAAATTTGTGGAATTTTAATTATGATTACTATTCATATTTTATATGAGTTTCTATTTATGCCATAAATAATATATAAATTCAAATGGAAGAACACTTAATGATAAATACAGAAGTGCAAGATTTGAATAGATTTGAATAAAACAGACTTTTACTAATAAGTGCAAAAGAATAGTAACAAGAAATTTTTAAGATTGACTTCAAGATATTCCAGGAACTTAAATAACTAATAATTCTATTTAAAAAATTAGATATTAATCAATTAATTATAAAAAAAATCTTACTGTATTCACATCTAGCTCCATAATAACCTCTGCGACAAGAACAAGTATCTTTTTGAATGCATTTTCCTCCATTAAGACATTTTTCACGGCAGATACCTGAAAAATTAGTTTATATTAAACTAATTTTAGATTTAGATATAAAAAAATTAATTTACAAGTGTTACCTCCTTCACAATGAGGTCCTTGATATCCATCAGCACAAGAACAGATTCCAGGAGATATACATGTTCCTCCATTCATACATTGCGGATAACAAAGAGCTGTACAGGAAAAATTTATATAATTTATTTAACTGTACTTTATTTTATGAATGTTTCAATCAAAATGTTTCTTATACCTGTACGACAATATTTTCCCATATAACCTTTTGGACATTCACAAATTTTGTGCTGATTACATCTCCCACCATTGGCACACTTTTTATCACATTCTGGATCTGGACCTAAAATTTTTCATACACACTTATGAATTTTCATGAAAAATATAATATTCAAGAAAATCAAATTTTCAAAATTTAATGTCTACATTTAAAAATTTTTTTTATAAAATTGTAGAGAAATCCAAAATTCTAGTGATAGTACAGATTTTTATGTCATATTGTTAATTTTTGCTTTATTATATTTATGAAATTAAGAAAGATATTGATATGGCTGCAAAAGATTTTATTTGGACTATAATTTACAAAAATAAGGAATTTCTAGATGATAAAGTATTTTCTATATAATTCATTGACAAATATTGATGATAATACAAAGTAGTTAAAAAGACTAAATAATGTAACTAATATAAATATAATTTATACATTGACTCATTGATTCACAATATTGAAAAATAACAATTAAATTTATATAAATATGACAATTCTTGTTTTAAAAGATTAATTTAAAATCGTTTCTCATTCAACATGTTAAAAATACCTACAATTATCTCATTCAATATAATTATTTTACTGTTTTATTTAATATATACTGTACTCACTTAAGAAAATGTACAGAGGAAATCATTTTAAAAATATATTATATGCCAAATAATTTATTCAAAATGTTTTTTTGGACTGCAATTTGAAAAAATTGTAGACCTATAAATTCCCACTGTTGTCCATACGTCTTTCCTTAATCTCGAGAATGGTTAAAGTTAACCAGATGAAATCCAAGACCGGATATGGAAACCTTGGGGGAAAATTATTACACATCCAAATTATTGAGTGTGTTAATCACCAATAATGGAGGCACTAATAATGTGGTAACACAGATAATCTGCAAGTCTGTTTTGATTACCATTTTTCATTAATTTGGTTTTTAATTTCATATTAAATTTAACATAATAGTTTTTATATTATGAATAAAATATGTTTTGAGAAAGATAATTAATTAATAAGCTTTTAGACAACAATTAGAAGCATTTATAATATACAGTCGCCCCCCTATAACGTACGTTCCTATAACAACAATTCCTATAACGTAGCGAAAAAATTGTAGCAACTTTCGTATAAAGTACCTCCTATAATGTCATTTCGCGACAAGATTGATAGAGTCTGGACCAATAGTGGATGAGCAGCCGAACTACTTTCCTCCGACCCTGCGCCACGCTACGGAGCGGCTAAATTGAGTTTGCTATCGTCTGTTTAGTATTATATATAAATTATATATAAATTAGGTACTGTACATATAATTATATATTAATTATATATAAATTAGGTACTGTATATATAATTATATATTAACTTAATTTATTGTAACTTTATTATAATTATATATATGCTTTCTGCCGCCTGGCAACACGCTACGGAGATTTTAGGCTAGTAAGTTGAGTTTATTATCGTCTGCACAGTATGTAAATTAGGTACCGTAAGTCTAATACAGCACTAATTTTATACATTTCTTGTGAAAGAAACACTTCTTATTCAACGTCCATAAAAATTATTTATATTAATGATGTCTCCAAAGGTCAAGTTATTTTTCCGCCAAAAATTCGTTATCAGAAATTGCGGCCGTCGTTTCGCGTGCTGTTCCGCGATGAAAACCAGCTTTAAGCAACGGCGTAGTCGAACGGTACACACTCGGTAAGTAATCCTATAATTTTTTGTTTATAGCATAGTTTATACGGATTACTCCCAAAAAATTATACGTGTTTTGGAAATGTTGAGTGGAATTAGTCTAGAATCGGTTAATTTTATAGAAGAAAACCTTTCGAACAGCCTTAGTCCGTAAAGTTCCCACCTATCGGGCTGCGATTGGCTCATGTATTTAATCATTCCTACAACGTAAAATTCGATTAGCGTGGAACGTATCTAAGCGTTATAGGGGGGTCTACTGTACATTCACTGGAGGATGCTAAAAATCAGTTGGACAAACTGTATTACAGACTCTACTCTAGAAAGAAGACTCACAGAAGGAACTGTTAATCTCATAAAACATCATACTTTGGACACATAATCAGAACAAGCAAGTATGAATTATTACAGAACATCATAATGGGTAAAATTGATGGAAAAAGGCAACATGGAAGACCTAGGATGTTATGGATTGATAACTTATGTGAATGGAAGGGAATGTATGGGATACAAAGACTAGTAGATGAAGCAAGGAGGAGAGCCCTCTAGTGAGACAATGCAATGTTCAGGAAATTGGGCATAATACAAAGAAATTAAGAAAATAGACAAAATAAAAATTTTTTTTATAACATTTGGATACATGTACAAATGTATCCAAATGTAAAATTCAATATAACTCTTTAGATATAAAAAAATTAATTTACAAGTGTTACCTCCTTCACAATGAGGTCCTTGATATCCATCAGCACAAGAACAGATTCCAGGAGATATACATGTTCCTCCATTCATACATTGCGGATAACAAAGAGCTGTACAGGAAAAATTTATATAATTTATTTAACTGTACTTTATTTTATGAATGTTTCAATCAAAATGTTTCTTATACCTGTACGACAATATTTTCCCATATAACCTTTTGGACATTCACAAATTTTGTGCTGATTACATCTCCCACCATTGGCACACTTTTTATCACATTCTGGATCTGGACCTAAAATTTTTCATACACACTTATGAATTTTCATGAAAAATATAATATTCAAGAAAATCAAATTTTCAAAATTTAATGTCTACATTTAAAAATTTTTTTTATAACATTTGGATACATGTACAAATGTATCCAAATGTAAAATTCAATATAACTCAGATAGGTTTTCTGCTGCTGATACATATTTTTATATATGACTGATAACATAAATTAGAGGACTATATAGGATTAGAAATTTATATAGTAACTGAAGTTTAGTTACAACTGCCTTGTAATAATATTAAATATTACTGATTTAATATCATTTAATAATTTTATCATCATCTAGAATAGCATACATCTTAATATTTGTATTGCTTTAATTCAATTGTGAATCTTGGATTTTCCTTACAAAAATATTTTCATTACAGTTTTAATTTTAATCTATTTTCTTTTATATAATAATTAGCTTTAAAATATACATTTAAATTTTTAAATAATGTACTCAGAGAATACAATTACAGTTTTTTATGAAACATCCAATGATTACCTGAAAGATCGAACTAGAATTTGGCTAATTAAATGATTAATATAAACAAATTTGTCACTAGAGGTAGAGTGCACTGCATGGCAAGTGGAGGTTACAGGTTCAAGCCCCACCCTGGGTAAGTTCTTTTATTCCAGAAGGTTCAAAAATATTTAATAATTTATTAAAATTTATAATTATTAATTTAGTTAAGAGATCACCTCTAGTGACAAATTACTTTATATTAATCATTTAATTAGCCAAATCCTAGCCTGATCTTTCAGACGATTGTTGGATGTTTCATTATATACTCATCGGTCTTTAAGATGTTTATTATTAAAGTTTTTTAAAGTATCATTATTTCTAATTATTTAAAATGTATTCTTAATCTTTTTTTTTTTTTGCATTTTGGACTCTTTTAGCAGTCTAGTAAAGCTTGTGGACTGTTTCTTGGAATAATGTCTTTAAATGCATAAAATAAAATACATAGAATTACAGTAGAGAAAGCCAATTATATTAAAATATAGTTAGCAAAATTTTAAACATTCTGTGATATAGTAATATGTGCTTCTATATTAATGCATTAGTTGTCAAATAGTTTGTGTGTATGTGTTTAGAATATCTTATGCATAAAAATATAATGGTTAAAAACATAATTATGGAATACATCATAAGTGATGTGTAGAAAATATCATCTGTAAATAAGTCCAAGAAGCATACCAAATTTAAAGTTTTTAATTGTAAATCTTCAAATGAAATAAGAATGTAAAAGTTTAATGTAAAAAAACAATCATTATAATGAACAAATACAAACCGTGATCTGCACATTGTTTTTGTAGTTTCAGTCTTAGAGGCGTTCCAGGTAAAAAATTTCCAGATTCATTTTGAATACGTAACCCAATTCCAAAAGAAGCAACTCCACTTTGATTTCCTAAACATGGTAGAAATACTTGAAAAACTAAAAGATATGAAAAGTAGAATTTTAAAATTTTGTATATCATTTGATAGTATTTGAACATATAATTAAAGTATATTCCAAACCTCTTGGTTTTCTTGGCACTTTTCCTCTTGTATCAATTGATATAACAGGATTACCTAATATATCTTTATTAAAAGATTGAAGTTGATCAAAATCATAAAAATATTGCTGAAAATAAGAAAAACAATAATGTATTATTTCTATTGAAATATACAAAAGCATGTATTCCATTAAAAATATATATACCATACAAGTTCTTTTTTCAAAAATTCTATTTCTAGAAAAATGTTTATGTTTTTGTTACATATAAAAAAATGAAATGGAAATTAGTTTTTGTAAATATTTTGTATATAAATTATTTAAATTTCTACAAACAATGTACTATTTAATATTTTGTAGAAATATTTAAAATTAATATTTAGTCAGTAAATTTTATTTGAAAAAAATCAAAATATAATATAATAAACGCATATAATATCAGTGATTTTGATAAAAACTTTCTTTCAAATTGATAAATATCATGAATAAATTTAATATAAAAACAAAACAAACAAACATGGTATTTTTATATTAAGAAAATTCAAAAATCAATATCTTTAGCAAGATTAAAAAACTGCCTTTACAAAAGTAAAAACTATTTCAATTATTTAATCTTTTCAAAATAATATTTAATGCCTTAAAAATAAAGATATTGTAATAATTTTTTCAAGCATATAAAAAGTATGTTACCAAATATATAAATTTTGTTGGAAAACAAAAATATTTCTAGGAATAAGATTTCTAATTTTGCGTGTAGAAACTATGTGTACATATGTCATGAAACATCTGAAATAGGCAGATTATGTTTAAAAAAATGATAGAGAAACATTAGAATANAGCTTGTGGACTGTTTCTTGGAATAATGTCTTTAAATGCATAAAATAAAATACATAGAATTACAGTAGAGAAAGCCAATTATATTAAAATATAGTTAGCAAAATTTTAAACATTCTGTGATATAGTAATATGTGCTTCTATATTAATGCATTAGTTGTCAAATAGTTTGTGTGTATGTGTTTAGAATATCTTATGCATAAAAATATAATGGTTAAAAACATAATTATGGAATACATCATAAGTGATGTGTAGAAAATATCATCTGTAAATAAGTCCAAGAAGCATACCAAATTTAAAGTTTTTAATTGTAAATCTTCAAATGAAATAAGAATGTAAAAGTTTAATGTAAAAAAACAATCATTATAATGAACAAATACAAACCGTGATCTGCACATTGTTTTTGTAGTTTCAGTCTTAGAGGTGTTCCAGGTAAAAAATTTCCAGATTCATTTTGAATACGTAACCCAATTCCAAAAGAAGCAACTCCACTTTGATTTCCTAAACATGGTAGAAATACTTGAAAAACTAAAAGATATGAAAAGTAGAATTTTAAAATTTTGTATATCATTTGATAGTATTTGAACATATAATTAAAGTATATTCCAAACCTCTTGGTTTTCTTGGCACTTTTCCTCTTGTATCAATTGATATAACAGGATTACCTAATATATCTTTATTAAAAGATTGAAGTTGATCAAAATCATAAAAATATTGCTGAAAATAAGAAAAACAATAATGTATTATTTCTATTGAAATATACAAAAGCATGTATTCCATTAAAAATATATATACCATACAAGTTCTTTTTTCAAAAATTTCTATTTCTAGAAAAATGTTTATGTTTTTGTTACATATAAAAAAATGAAATGGAAATTAGTTTTTGTAAATATTTTGTATATAAATTATTTAAATTTCTACAAACAATGTACTATTTAATATTTTGTAGAAATATTTAAAATTAATATTTAGTCAGTAAATTTTATTTGAAAAAAATCAAAATATAATATAATAAACGCATATAATATCAGTGATTTTGATAAAAACTTTCTTTCAAATTGATAAATATCATGAATAAATTTAATATAAAAACAAAACAAACAAACATGGTATTTTTATATTAAGAAAATTCAAAAATCAATATCTTTAGCAAGATTAAAAAACTGCCTTTACAAAAGTAAAAACTATTTCAATTATTTAATCTTTTCAAAATAATATTTAATGCCTTAAAAATAAAGATATTGTAATAATTTTTTCAAGCATATAAAAAGTATGTTACCAAATATATAAATTTTGTTGGAAAACAAAAATATTTCTAGGAATAAGATTTCTAATTTTGCGTGTAGAAACTATGTGTACATATGTCATGAAACATCTGAAATAGGCAGATTATGTTTAAAAAAATGATAGAGAAACATTAGAATAAAGGCATAAGAACAAATTTATTCAACAATAATAATTTATTTATTTAATAAGTTATTTATATTTATTCATTCATTACTTAATTGATTAGTCATTGTTTATTTTGACATTTCAAATGAAACATAACCAATATATAAAATAATGGTATTTTTAATTTGTTATTGATATTTATAGTCATAGTTATGTAATAAAAATATTGTTGTGAAATAAATTCTAATCACATATTTATTGAACAAAAATAAAATCACCAAATATCAAAAGTACAAAGGTAACATCAAATAATATTTAAGAAAACTATTAAGATTAACAATGACGAAAAAAGAAAAAGAGAACTTTCTGTTATTAATGCAATTTATAATTTATATTGTTAAAACAGCAATAAATCTGTAAGCATGTAATTATATCCAAGCAATAACTGTTAATAGATGTTTCAATGTAACTTAACATCTAAATCAGTCATGAGCAAAATATGGCCTGTGTGGTCCAGAGGGCCTACCTAATATGTGATTCTTGTGACTTTGGTAATGTAATTTTATTTTTCAATTTTCTACTTTGTGTCATTATGTAACCTTAATTAGGCTGATATTTGTGATGATGTACCACTTTCAGACTATACTTGACTAGTGAAAAAAATTAGAATAAGTTTGCATATCATTAACATATATTATTTTACAACTTAGTGCACTTGGTTATAGAGCAGCTTGGTTATGGAGTATGGTGATATTCAGCAGTTTTAAAACCTGTAGTTCTATAAGAAAAAATGTATGCAGTCTACAAAGTTCAACACACATCCAGAAAAGGTTGATCATTAATCTAATTCTCAAATTGTCTGACATTCTTTTTGCATATTTAGTATATCATTTTGAATGTTTCAAGTGGTGTCATCGAATGTCTTTTATACTCCAAAGCATTTTTCACTCCAAAGTCAACTTTACACATTCCAACTGAAAAAAACTGGAGTGTCTCCTCCAATATAAAATTATTGAAATCATGTTTCTTTTGGTTGAAGGTTTGTTCATGATGACTTTTCTTCTTGAGAAGAAAACGTTTCTGTTTCTATTGATCTGAGAAGGATTATCACAAGCAAATTTTTCAAGATTAAAAGGGCATATATTTGGCCCAGATCGTTATTATATGATAAGAACTATCAACATTGTGAAAAAAAAAAAAAAAAAGCATAAGTCTTGAATAACAGACGTGGTGTGTTGTGCTTCATTTTCATTTATTAATATTTGCTCTGTTAAAAATTTATTTTAACACAGATTTTTCTTTATCTATCATAAAAACTTATTCAGTATTTTGTTTATTTATATCTCCAAATTTCAAATCTACATCTATAAATATTTGCCTTATGTTATTATGATCCCAAAATATATATAAAGAAAAAACCCTGTTATTAATTAAGTATATTAAACAACATGAAGCCATATATATATATTGGGCTTCAGGTTAATATATATATATATATATAAATACATAGCCAAACGATTGCCTTAAAGTATTGTAATTAATTGTTTGGCTATGTGTTATCAATTTTTTTGTGTTTTCAATAAAATATAAATAATAACTAACTTATTATTTAGCATGATATCTGATTATATTTAAAAAATCTAATTTTTATATAAGTAAATATCATGTTAAAATTCATGAATGACGACAATTAAGATAATAATCATTATGTAAATATTAGCGACAAACTACCATACATACAAAATTTACGATTCTGTACTTTAATTGTATTAAATTAGCAAAACACAAAAATTTATTATACTATAGTCAGCAACAAGCAAACAATAAGTTTACGTGATTTTCATTGTTCTGTTCGGTATAGTTTTGTTTATTTATTACGAATAATTAATTTTTTAAGTAAAGACAGCTGATAATGGAATAGTAAAACCACCATATCAATTCACAAGTATGAGTATATATTGATTCTTGTAGAGAGCATTAAAAATTAAAGTGATTACGATAAAATGAAAACTAAATTTTCTTTAAGTGTTTGTAATTATTTATTTAAAAAAATTAATAAATTCAATGACTGGAAATAAAGTACAGAAATTCAATTGTTATAAAATGTCTGTAAAAAATGTGTAGAAAATGCAATATTAATGTAAACATTAACATTTTTGGTTAAATTCTAACTAGGTAGTCCCAATGGTGGTGCTTTGGTTAGGTTAAGTTAGGTTAGATTAACTATATTTTTAGTAGACGTTTCCTTTTTTTTCTTTTGTTCAAGAACTACCGTGAATCAATAACTAGTGACGTTAAACACTCGGTGGCCTGCCAGCAGCTCCCCTCCAAGAGGAGTCTGTCCGGAGGAGCACGAACAGTCGGAAGCCGGAAGCTGCAGCCATTGGAACTACCTAGGTAGACTTTGACCACATTTTTTTACTCAGGAGTTGGTATTAAATACACAAGTGAAAATTGAGATCTGCAACAAGCATTCCAATCATTACGATTGTTAAATATAATTATACCTTTTTTACATAAAGAAATTGATTGAAATCCAATTGTTGGTGCATCAACGCAAACTTACACAGCAATTACTATTACGTATCAGGTAATAGATCATAATCATATATATTTTTGGCTATTTATTACAATACAAGATCAAGTGTGAATGGTAAAATATCTCCAGCATAGGCATTATAAGTGAATAAGATTGGTCAGACTGCATTTATAATTATATAATTAATGCAGTAATGTGTTATGTTATATGTAATTATGTGTAATATATTCTGAAATGTGTTGATATTTGTTTTGAATTTTTATAATTATATAATTCTTAAAACATTTAATATTGTTTCATAAATAATTACAAACCTTTCTTTCCCCAGATTTCCATGTAAAATTAACAAATCCAACCTCTGATGGAATAACAGGTAAATATTTTTCAAAATTAGGATCTAAAATATAAGGGAGAACAACGCCACCAACGATTGCGTGAATTTCCATAGGAAACCCTATTTAAAATAATAATAATAAATTTGTATTTAATTTCAAATTCACATCATTAACTAATAATAATTAATTAATCGTCTCGCGTATTATTAAAATTTCAAAATCTACGTCTAAATAATTATTTATTTTATATTTTAATTTTAATTATTTTAACTTATTAGTAATAAATTCACTTCAAAAAATATTTATGGCGCCATCTGTCGTAATAAAATACCTCTACATAATTCAATTTTAATATGAATATATTTTTTCTGATCAATAATTTTTATTTTTCTATTTATTAATTTAAATATTTTTTTATAAAATAAAAATAAAATAAAATAAGAAATTCTGACATAACAGATTTATCTACAAATTAATTTATTTTTAACGAATAGGAAAACGGTTTACAAAATTCGAAATAAAATAAACACCACGATTGGTTAAATTTATAGATTTTNACATCGATCAATATTAATTCAACCATACATCTTGAGGTAATATTTTGATTGAAATAATCTATATAAAATAATACATTGGATAAAGAAATAAGTATATATTAATTAAAATTATTTTGATTGCATTATACAAGTTGTAATGTATATTATCTAAACTATTCATCGATTAAAGTATGCTGTTTACTTAAAGAGTTATATCTTTTTCCTGGAGTTGTGTCATATTTATAGCTTTATTTATAATATATTAATACGACTTTTATATTTGATTTAGTAAAAAAAATATATATATATAATTTCTTCCATTTTAGTTTCATTTACTTCGTGTGTGTATTTTTAATAGGTTAATTTACGTCTTTAATCGTTTAATCTAATTTGCAATATTAATTTTCTATAATTAATTCTGAGAAATGATTATTTTAGAGGCTATAAAGTGTCATTTAGGAGTATAAAATTACAATTAATTATACTTTTAAAAATTTCTGAATATAATTAAGTAAATTTGCCATGATTTAAAAACTCATTTTGGAAAATAATTGCTTGTTAAGTTCATATATATATATATTTTTTAATCAATTATTTAATCTGTTTTATTACATAATACTGTATCGGCTTTAGACATTTTACATTTGTAAGCAATAAGAATTCTTATAAAGTCAATGATTAATATCCGTGAACAAACTGATTAAACAAAATAAAGATTATCCATCATTTTAATCCCCATCTTTCGGGGAGAAAGCTTGTTTTAACAATAGAGATTTTCGAGCAAATTCTCCGGTCCACTCTAGAAATGAAAGTGGGATTTGTCTACAATAGAAACGCTTGAGGTTATAAGTCGGGGTTCCTGCCTGAGTAACTGTTGGAAGTCTGTCAACACAGTTGTCTGTCAGTGAGTCGAGAGGCCGTTAAAGGTCGTGATTAATTTGTTGAGTTGGCACAGTCATTACAAACTCGACTGGAAAGACGGGACAACCTGTCGAAATGGCAACACTTAATCAGTGTTTTCTGTATTGTGAAAGGCCCACGTAAGAAAGGAATGCGAATGAATAGAAACGTTAAGAGTTTTCTGCTTATTTTCGTACACAAAGGAGACTTTGACAACAATGAAACTGAAATTTTCAAGTCATTCGCATAAAACAACGTTAATTAACTAAATTTCGCTAACGAGAACAATCGGTAGAGACTACCGAAAAGTGTAATAAGTTATTTGTATAGGTAGGCCGAAGAAATAATAATCGACGTGAAAAAAAAAACTTAATTGAAAACTCGCTGTCTAGCCAAAACTGATACATTGACAAATGAAGCGGGTTATGGTAAAGATGTTTAATTAATTTTAACACGCAAAACGCCTCTTATATTCATAGGTCGACCGACCATCAACAGTTGCTCGACAACTATAGCATAGACGTGAACAAAGCAGGTGTGAAGCTAAGAACTGCAAGTTGAGTAAAGCTTCAGGGCGAACATGACTAATGGAAAATTAGGTCTAGTTTGTAGACTGACTTAAAAGATGTATGTCTAGACTTGAGCTAAAAAAAAAAAAAGTAAAGGAAAAAAAATTGCCGTGTTAACTTTTACTGTTTAAATTGTATCTTTTTCTATGTGTATACAAACAATTTAAAAACGAAAATAAAACGCAAATTGAGTCAATGTTTATCTAATTATATGATAACGATAAACTTTTTTTAAATGATTTTCTCATTATTACAGTATCGAATTTCTCTTTTCCTGGTGGAAAAATAAACGTAGATAAATTTTTTTTAAATCCCTGCTCGTATCTAAACAGTGAAATTAATGCTTGGTTTCTTGGAAAGAAAAACCAACCAGCAACTTTAACACTAATAGTTTTATTGTTAATAAAAATCGATCTGTTTCGAAAATATTGAATTAAAAGAATTAAAAAAAAGAGAGAAGAAATATTTTAAATTGATTGTTAAGTCGAATATACTTACCACTAAATTCTTTAACTTGTTTTTCGTCGATCCAAAGAGACATATCAGCGACTTGTTCTTTTCCTTCTCTCGCCGTACACAACACGACGATCGTAGAAGTTAACATTAAAAAATACATGGTCCAAATTTGGACTACATACCTATTTAAATATTAAAAAAAAAAAAATGTTCTTTTTTTGTCAAGATACGATTTCATCTCGTGTTAAACTTTGACGTGCGGATGACATAACGTACCCATTGCGAGCTTCGTTCAACAGCATATACACTAACAAAAACTGTTCTGGGTACGTTGGTCACGTGACCGACTAGCAATAGCCACTTCCATCACGTGACGTTAACAAATACATCTGTTTGGCAGACGAAGCTGAGAGATTGGCTGCTACTTTTGTTCCGACGACATTGGGATTTTTATATATATTATTCTTTATTGTCGAATGGTCTAGCTGGTATAATTAGGCAATTAAATTTATTCGTTAATAGTAGGCAATGAATTTATGTTTACGACCTTTTCTTGAGATTCCTTCCATTTTTTTTTTAGTCATGGAGCATTTCTTTTTCGATCTCGTTGATGTTAAATCAGTGGCAGATAAAATATTGAATGTTTGCATGCTAATTTTTTTTTACTGTGTTTTTTTTTATATGCGTGTTTCGCTTGATCGATTGCTATTTGTATCGATCTACACAATGAAAAAACGACTGCAGCAAAGAAAATAACGAATAACGATGGAGTAAAGACTGCAAACTACCAAAATGCATTCAGATTTACGTTGTTTTTTTTTTGTTTTGTTTTTGGAGAATAAAGAAGCTTTTATTTTAATTTAAAAGTGAAATATTTTGACGCTAATTTTCGATTATAAACCAAAAAAGAAATTAGTCAAACCTCTGAACAACGGAGGTTATTTTGTATGCAGTTTTGTTCAGAAAAAGTTCCTGAAATAAAAAAAAAATGGCTACTGTTTAGAGCTGTTGGGAGATTATTGTTATTAGATGTTTGAATATATAATTATAAACTAATATCTTTCTGTAAATCAGATATAAAGGGTTGAGTTTTTAGTTTGTTCTGTGTAGAAAATGTATTCGATATCTATTTAAATTGTAATAATGCTTTTTAAGGAGATCGAGTAATAACGATTGTTTTAAATTGTAATTAAATAAATAAATATTCAACAACAGAACAATAAACAAAAGAAGTAGTTGCACAATTGAAAAAAGAAGGAATAATTCTTTAAATAAACAGGAAACGCTCATAAATTCCACACAAATCATCATAAATATGTCGACAGGGAATTACTTTCGTGCAAATCTTAGTCGTGTTTTAAACGCGTATAAATTCTTATGTTTGGAATTATTTACAACGTTAGGTCAGACATTAACACGAAAAGTTCATTTAAGTCTACTCTTCTTCTTGCTTGATTTATTACTCTTTCGTCCTCTTTGGCTTAAGACGTGAATCAGGTACGAAGTGATACCGCTCCTGTTAAATGACGTCAGTTCACGTAGAATCAATTTCGACAGGTTAAATAATTAACTTTGACGAGGATTGTTCCTTTTTTTTTTATTTTTTGCATACAAAACTTGTATTTTATTATGAGTGACAGAATATAGAGCTCTGATACTTCGTATAATGACTGATTCTAACAGCGGAAAATATAAGATTTATTTTATTATATTATTGGCAGAAGTAATCTGGTATGAGAGGTAATGCCACTGTACTAAATACTGTCGTTCGTTGTAACAAATTGCCATCTTATATACTACAATTAAATACAAATAAATCGAAAAGTAAAGACAATTAAATTCTGATCGGAGAAAAAGTTTATTCATTAACAGTGAAATAGATAGTAAAATCGATACAATTATTATAGATATATTTATACCTGTAATAATTGTATCGGCTTCACTATCTATTATGTTACTATCACAGTATCTATGTATACACTGTACTATCTATTGCCTGTATTATGTTAGTTGATTGTATATTAGTCTTAATAATTAAATTAAGTTCACTATTTATTATTTAACTTGTTTTATTTATTTCAATATATTAATAAATTAATAAAATAAAAACAGAAAGTAAAAATAAAAAAAAACAATGTATATTTATGTCTAATTTATAATTAAATTTCTCATAGACAGTGAGATGTATTTAAATATTTTCAACTTTCTCTAAGAGATTACAAATAACTAAGGAGTAAATAATTGTAAAAATAGATAAAAATTGATATAAATGGTAAGCGAATACAGCATTTAAATTAAACTTACTATTTATAAATCTATTGAATATGAAATATCACAAGATTTATATTGAAAATTCTAAATTAAATTAATTCTAAAATAAAAACACTAGAGACATTTTTTTATATATATAATATAATTTTCAATTTAAATATATTTGTCTTGTTTAGTTATTTATCATTATTAGTCTACTATGTTAAGGTCAAAGGTTACTTTAATTTTAAAGCTTTTAAGAAAAATTTTAAAAATTTAAAAAGATTTCAAACAAATATTTTATAATTTGATTGCATTTTACATATTTTTTTACATATTAACAATAATCTACAAAATAATAAAATGTTTTTCTTCTGCTCTCTTTTGGAGCAATTAAAAAGAATATTTTCTTTGTTTAAAGCTTCTTCCCTGTAGTACGATATTAACTCCTCTTTCAATATAACAGTGTGTTCTTTGTCAGGATTAATGTCCACGGATACTCATCAATTCTAGATAGGATATTCTTCAAAATGTAGATTTCTACAGATTAAAACAGACTTTACTTGTTCCTTCTGCTGTTTTTTTTTTTTTTTTTTTAGTGAATTGTGCAATTAGATCTTCCTCTTCCTCGTTTGTAAGACACTAAGAATAATTCTCCAGCAACTCTTCGTATTGTCAAGTCCTAGATTTTAAAATAAATTTACTGTTGTGATAAAGAGCCAAACAGTATAATGTATGGAAAAATGAACATATACAATGTATACCCAAATGCGGCTTTAACATTAATATTTGCCTAGTAAATAGCACAATAAATTTTTATCGGTAGTGGATATAGAATTTGATCGGCATTTAATTATATACGATGATCATAATCAGAGTCGTATATAAGTTACATATTCCGGGACGGAACGATTAAGTTAAAATGGATCTCTTCTTTCTTGAAAGTAATACAGTAGGGTGTCGTTTATCCGAAAGTCGGTTATCCGAAAGAATTCCAGTTGACAAATTTAAATTTTCGCTAGTGCTGTGGCGCTGCAATCTTTGGCTATGTCTTGGNCGTACAACACGGAATTCATATAAAACGGAATAATCAACAGTGTTATAGGGGAGTCGACTTGTAATATAAATTTTTAATGTAAAGTTAGCCGTAATATAGATGTAAAGATAAGAGAAGAATTATAACTACTATTTATTATATTAAAATTGCGACAATTTATCACGAACCACCGCAGACAAGTAAAATAGAACTTCTTAAAACATGAATCCATTCGCTTACATCGATCAATATTAATTCAACCATACATCTTGAGGTAATATTTTGATTGAAATAATCTATATAAAATAATACATTGGATAAAGAAATAAGTATATATTAATTAAAATTATTTTGATTGCATTATACAAGTTGTAATGTATATTATCTAAACTATTCATCGATTAAAGTATGCTGTTTACTTAAAGAGTTATATCTTTTTCCTGGAGTTGTGTCATATTTATAGCTTTATTTATAATATATTAATACGACTTTTATATTTGATTTAGTAAAAAAAATATATATATATAATTTCTTCCATTTTAGTTTCATTTACTTCGTGTGTGTATTTTTAATAGGTTAATTTACGTCTTTAATCGTTTAATCTAATTTGCAATATTAATTTTCTATAATTAATTCTGAGAAATGATTATTTTAGAGGCTATAAAGTGTCATTTAGGAGTATAAAATTACAATTAATTATACTTTTAAAAATTTCTGAATATAATTAAGTAAATTTGCCATGATTTAAAAACTCATTTTGGAAAATAATTGCTTGTTAAGTTCATATATATATATTTTTTTTAATCAATTATTTAATCTGTTTTATTACATAATACTGTATCGGCTTTAGACATTTTACATTTGTAAGCAATAAGAATTCTTATAAAGTCAATGATTAATATCCGTGAACAAACTGATTAAACAAAATAAAGATTATCCATCATTTTAATCCCCATCTTTCGGGGAGAAAGCTTGTTTTAACAATAGAGATTTTCGAGCAAATTCTCCGGTCCACTCTAGAAATGAAAGTGGGATTTGTCTACAATAGAAACGCTTGAGGTTATAAGTCGGGGTTCCTGCCTGAGTAACTGTTGGAAGTCTGTCAACACAGTTGTCTGTCAGTGAGTCGAGAGGCCGTTAAAGGTCGTGATTAATTTGTTGAGTTGGCACAGTCATTACAAACTCGACTGGAAAGACGGGACAACCTGTCGAAATGGCAACACTTAATCAGTGTTTTCTGTATTGTGAAAGGCCCACGTAAGAAAGGAATGCGAATGAATAGAAACGTTAAGAGTTTTCTGCTTATTTTCGTACACAAAGGAGACTTTGACAACAATGAAACTGAAATTTTCAAGTCATTCGCATAAAACAACGTTAATTAACTAAATTTCGCTAACGAGAACAATCGGTAGAGACTACCGAAAAGTGTAATAAGTTATTTGTATAGGTAGGCCGAAGAAATAATAATCGACGTGAAAAAAAAAACTTAATTGAAAACTCGCTGTCTAGCCAAAACTGATACATTGACAAATGAAGCGGGTTATGGTAAAGATGTTTAATTAATTTTAACACGCAAAACGCCTCTTATATTCATAGGTCGACCGACCATCAACAGTTGCTCGACAACTATAGCATAGACGTGAACAAAGCAGGTGTGAAGCTAAGAACTGCAAGTTGAGTAAAGCTTCAGGGCGAACATGACTAATGGAAAATTAGGTCTAGTTTGTAGACTGACTTAAAAGATGTATGTCTAGACTTGAGCTAAAAAAAAAAAAAGTAAAGGAAAAAAAATTGCCGTGTTAACTTTTACTGTTTAAATTGTATCTTTTTCTATGTGTATACAAACAATTTAAAAACGAAAATAAAACGCAAATTGAGTCAATGTTTATCTAATTATATGATAACGATAAACTTTTTTTAAATGATTTTCTCATTATTACAGTATCGAATTTCTCTTTTCCTGGTGGAAAAATAAACGTAGATAAATTTTTTTTAAATCCCTGCTCGTATCTAAACAGTGAAATT